GCTAGATAGATAGATAGATAGATAGATAGATAGATAGATAGATAGATAGATAGATAGATAGATAGATAGATAGATAGATAGATAGATAGATAGATAGATAGATAGATAGATAGATAGATAGATAGATAGATAGATAGATAGATAGATAGATAGATAGATAGATAGATAGATAGATAGATAGATAGATAGATAGATAGATAGATAGATAGATAGATAGATAGATAGATAGATAGATAGATAGATAGAATAGATAGAATAGATAGAATAGATAGATAGATAGATAGATAGATAGATAGATAGATAGATAGATAGATAGATAAGATAGATAGATAGATAGATAGATAGAAAGATAAATAGATAGATAGATAGATAGATTGGATAGATTGGATAGATTGGATAGATTGGATAGATTCGAAAGATAGATAGATAAGATAGATAGTAAGATAGATAGATAGATAGATAGATAGATAGATAGATAGATAGATAGATAGATAGATAGATGGATAGATAGATAGATAGATTCATAGATCGAAAGGTAGTTTGATAGATCGAAAGGTAGTTAGATGAGAGAGAGAGATAGATCGATAGATAGATAGATACATAGATAGATAGATAGGTAGGTAGGTAGATATGCTGTAAACGAAACCCCTCTGAAACGTATTTGATCTACATAGATATCATCTAATTACAATATATGTATTACAGTATCAATCATTTTGGGGCCCAACCATGGGGTGTTTTTTGTGAACGACTGGTCCCGGCCCTCCGGCCTTTCTTCATTCAGTCTCTGACGTTGACTAGAGCCGATCCTGGCCCGCTGTTATAAAGCCATCTTCAAGGGGCTGGTATGTCGAAATTATATGTAGCTGCGTACCGGAAAACACATGTATCTATATTGTCTAATCTTGTATGATACAATTCGCATCATTACTGAATTTTATTGATAGAGCCATTATACCGTTGGAGTCGAAATGCAGAGCAGTCAAATTTAACATCATGGGCAGCAGTCCGCGATTAATTTGGCGTCCAGATTCAGAATTTTGCAATGACTGGACAGGGCAAATTCTATGGCACTGACTCAAACAAAAAATCAAAAAAATCTGGAAGTGCCCAAAGAAGAATGCATTCCAGATATTTCCAGACTGGATTCCGAAGAAAACTCCCCAGCTGGCCTTTCTTCATTCAGTCTCTGCCGTTGACTGGAACCCAACCTGCTGGAGAGTTAACTATCCATCCCTGCTGGCTGGATGATAATGATACACTGACACTAACCTGGAAGTAGCTGAAATAAGGCTATTCTGGCATAGTTACCCTTTACTATACATCATTTCAGTGAGGCCGCAGTGAGGTCATCATTATATTGTAACTGACTCATCGATCCACATATTTCCAAATAAATGCAATTCAACCTTTTCCAGGGGGAATGATCCATCGTGGGGAGAAGGGATTCAGAAAAACGCCTTGAGTTTGAGATCGATCATTTGGATGTCCACGAGTCCATACAATTCAATGTGGTAAACCCAAAGCTGTATATAAATATAAACCATCCCCAGTATCACCAGAAATGGGTAGCTTATTCAACCATTCCCCAATACCTGGTTTGTTTCTTGTAGATTTTTACCACGGAAGTCATGCCTCTGACTTTGGCCGGATCCAGTCCTGGCGGTACTGAACAGCAAGTGGAACGTGGCCCCCAAGAAAAAACACATTACCTTCGAAACAAATCTAGACACTTGAAGTACTATTAACCAGGTAATTAACCAGGTTAATAGTGGTCAATAGTGGCTAATAGCGGTCAGAAGCACCAAGTAAAACCGAACAACTCCAGAAGTTGATTGCTCTTCCATTTTTTTCGATCATCTGTATTCAATTTCATGAGGTTCTTGCTCACTGTACCCAAGCTATCCTACATGCAAAAAAACAGAGAGCAAAGCTGCTGAGGACGGCAACAGTCCCATTTGGCCGAACTAAACTGATTGTAGGCAGTACAAATCATCGAATTCAAGTTATCACAATATCAAATCTCCGCGTTTCCTTCCATTCACGTGTTTCGTCACTTGCATCCAGTGATCCTTTTCTTTTCACTGAGAAGGAATCCGACGTTTCGCCCGCCTTTCTTCATTCAGCCTCTGACTTTGACTGGAACCAATCCTGACAGCACTGGCGGCCAAGCACAAACGTCTTATCGTCTTGAAATATTCACAAAGCGCTATGCCCCACTTTGGTGGGGGATTCTAACTGGCCACGGCTCAAGTGATATAGTCAGAGGCGAATTCCCCCTATGTTTCTGCGGGTACCACAGACTAGGTACCCGCACCATAAAACTATATAAAACACCATTATGTGTCGAACTTCTTCCTGGGACAGGTTGGGCATAGTTGCATAGCCTCTCCATCAGCATTCATCATTGACAATTCTCTCCACTATAAATGCTCATCCAAAAATCATGTGTAAAGTGTAATTTCATGTTCTTGCCGCCGTTGCGGAGAGCCCTTTATCTCTTTCTTCTCAGTACGAAGGGTGCGGCGGTTTCACAAATTATCCTGTACATTATGACTTGGCTGCAAAAGCAAACCTTTCAACAAATATGCTCACAACAGCACTAGAACTTCAGGGCTGCTTCAAGCTGGATCCTCTGCGACTCTGCGGGCACCCGCGTCATGGTCCGAGTTGCTGAAAACCATCCTGAGCCAGATGCCGCCAAGTAAAGAATCGCAGGATCGCAGAAGAAAAGAAAATATTTTGCCATCCACAAGGTCTGGCCAAGCGAGGAAAGAACCACACCAGATCTGTCCGCATATACTAGTGCAGCAACAAAGGCCGAAAGAGATGAAAGCAGGTAGAAGTTGTCGTAGCTGCAGAACTGTGAGAGATGTTCCCTCGCCCAGATGAAGGGCTGCATTGCAAGCTCAAAGCAAATCGTCAAGTGAACAGATACGACAGTACCCATCATCATCATCATCATATGATGAATCATCTCCAGGTGAGAGGCAGTTACGGACTCCACGCCTCCTGAAAGGTGCAGGAAACAAATCAGGAGGCATGGCATCGTCATCCACCCGGTTGCATTCCACACTTGCACACCAAAACAGTGGAGTCCATCCACCTTGCGTGCACTTTCTCGCCAAAGCCCTAGCAGACCGTGGAGACAAAAAGTAGAGACAAAGGTCATGATTGTCAAAATGCCTGTCTTCAGGGATCTGTCAAAATCGTTGTCGCGCAAGGCCTCTCCCAGTGCTCGCAACATGAAGTAAGCTGGAAAGTAAGCACGGTACTGAACTCTCTCGATCCAAAACCAAGACTGGTTGCAGCTATGAGATGAGTCTGGATTTGCAGTGAAGAAGGCCCATAGAGTTGCTATTACATGCGGTACTAACAGAGCCCTAGTGCTCCACTCTTTTCGAATGAGGCCGCACAGCCAGAGGATCATCGCAGTATCATTGAGAAGGTGGGTGACAATGAAAAAGCATTTTGCTCGCCGGTGACTGTGCTCAACTTGCTCGAGCGTGCTGATGCCCTTGGAAGTGGGAAAAGGCACGACTGAGCCAGCAACTTCATCAAAGCCCATGTAGTGTATGTCAACTCGCTGGAAGGATTTGGACAATGTGGAGACTCTAGCAGACAAGCGCTGCACCAGTGCGGAAAGTTCCACTCCCTCTCCATCTTTACCAACTTCCATTAACGCAGACATGAGATAAGATGGCTCGCCTGCAGGTCCGAGGCCCCAACGACCCTCATCGCAACCATACACGATGGCCAGTTGCTCTTCTGCATCATGGCCCTGAAACGCTCCACAAACTGCCACACTTGAATTTCCTCGTGCTGGGTGCACCGGCTCTTCAAACAAGAATGTGCGGCAACAATCCAGGATGAGAATTGTCCTGCAATCAGCTACGATCTCAGCACCGATTCGTTCAGCAATTGTGCTCCTTCCTCGTCCCCGTGAGGACGTCAGCTTCTGCAAATCTTCGATCCACTTTTCCAAGTGGACCAGTGATTCCTCTTCACTCTGGATTGAATCCTCGCAAGCTACATACTGCTTGCCATTTTTGCTCAAGCCGTGGCCAGAAAAGCACACGAGAAGAACAGTTTCCACCCCTGCCTCCAAGTCTTGCAATACCGACTCCATGATCAGATTCATTTTTTCCTTGGTGGCCTTGTAACAAGGATGGATCTGGTAGCCGTAGCCCCTTAAGAAACTTGCAAAGTCTTTCATGTTTTGGGTTGCCGCGGGCAAGTTTTTAAAACCAGAGTCTTCTGCATAGGTCCCAGCGCAAACAAGCAAAGCAATGTAACGAGTGCCTCCCATTGCCGATCGGCTGCTTGACCATGCGCAGTAGGAGAGAACGCTTACCAGAGCTCTATATAGTGGGCAAAGAAAGTGTGACTGTACAATGGGTTTCGATTGGTCTGCTTTTTCATTGCATATTTTTTTGGCAATGCATACTAGCACCACGTAATATTTTAACATATCAATATATATATATATATATTGTTGATTTTACAATAGTATGTGTATTTGATTGCGTGTCATGATATGTTTTACCCGTTCAGCAGCTGGCATCTTTCTCAACTCCGTTCCTGTCGACAACGGCGCAGTGCGGTGAGATGTGGGGCTTTCTGGACTCATAACCTACCAGAGATTCATGGCACACTGGCACCCAAACAGTACTCTGACATAGAGGGTTAATGGACGGTTTTTCCCCAAGTCATATCGTACTAACAGGTATTGAGCCACCAGCGCCGGCCATGGTCCTGCCTGTCATCTGCTCGCCCTTGACGTGATCCAATCCTGGCGGCTTGAGGACTGAACTAAACATAGGAAGACTTTTCCTGGAGGGTTCAACCTGGAGAATAGGGTGAATATGGGGGAATTGTAGGGATAAGTGATGAAAATGAAGATTGCATTAATTAACAACACATGGGAATATACATGAATGTACTTAGGAAATCACAACCAAGCAAGAACCTAAAATTGTTTGGGGCCAACCTATCCCAAAGCATGTCAATTCGGATCGGTTGGGATTACATCCCAGAGCTGATGGAAAACAAGAATACAGATCTGGACCACCTACCAGCTCGTATATGGCAATGGCAATAACTGGAAAATACTGCAACCGAGTCTGTTAAAGTTGGGAAAATTAAGTCCTGGAGTGTCACTTTGGGTTCTGCTGCCAACTTCTATATAAAATTCAATTCATCTTTGGGGCCAATCAGCGGCATATAGAGGAAACCCTCTTCCATCAGGTGTCTGGGCAATGGGGCTGAGACAGTTGTTGTATTGTTGTATACCCAGATGAATAGATTATACAGTACAGTTGACTACCCTCTTGTAATTTCACACTTGCGAGCTGGTATAGACGGCCCATTTAGTTCGATGATTTACCTATAGAAATTGTCCTTCGACCCCGGCCTTAGCCATGGCCGGGGCGGCGCCTGGGACCACCTTTGGTGTGGACTTCATCTTGTCCGGTTCCTCGAGCTCTTGGAGCTGCCAAACCGCCACATCCTTCGTTTTTATTGGCTCGACAATGCCGGATGCTTCCTTCAAACCGTCCAAACCTTCCGACACCTGCCACACCGGCTCTTGGAGCTGCCACACTATGGCCCGAAACTGCCGGATGTTCCCTTCAGACCGTTCAAACCCTCCGCAACCTCCGAACCATCCGAAACCTGCCAAACCGTCTCTTGGAGTTGCCAAACTATGGGCTGTGGCAGGCCACGTCTTTCCTTTTCTCCTGGCCCGCAACTGCCGGATGCTCCCTTCAAACCCTCCAAACCTTCCAAAACCTGCCAAACCGTCTCTTGATACGTCATGTAGAAGTAGAAACTCCATGACAATCCATGATTTCAGGTGTCTTTCGTAGTTTAGAATCATACTGTATATCTTTATTGTATTCGTTGTTACAGTAGTATATAGTCTAAAATCATCCGTAAATGGGTGGTTTTCTAGATGTCGATTTGTCTATCTGCATCTATAACATATGTTTAATCATAATAAAGATTTACCGGATGGTGTTTTCATGTGTTTTCTTTTGTTTACTTATTCGCTAATACTGAGCAATTTCCGGATGAAAATCTCTTCCGTCACCGCCCTCCCAAAAAAGCGGGGTTCGGCGGCACCCGGGCGCTAGCCCATTCTATATAATTTTCGACAGACAACTATGAAATTGCCAAAGAGTATTGTCTTACAGTTCCCTTCAATGTCACATTTGTTCGTCAGGTGGAAGTATGTTCACAACATTTGTACACATCCTGTCCTATGCCTGCCAAGGAACACATGCGGTATGTGTGACTATGCCCTCATGAATCCTCATGAATTAAGAATCATGATATTTCTCAAATCAGAAATGAACCCATGATGGGTGGATTCCCTTACTAACCAAAACCAACTCTTGTAGAGTGGTTCTTGTGAGGTCATGGCAATTCCTCCAGACAAATAGTGTTCCTTTAGCGCAAAAGTTCATGAACTTCGTCGACTATTAGTTTGAATCCTTAAGCCGGCTATCAGGATTCTTGGTTCCCTCCTAAACTCTTGAGGGGATCCATAGTGATGACTTCTGACGAGACGCGGGTGATATGTCTACCCATAACATACTGTGTGTATAAACACAACCAATCACATATGTGTGTAAATAAGATAAAAACTTAAACATAACATGTATGTACATGTATATTGTAGTGATACAAAATGGGCAATGAGTGGGTCGGAGTGAACAGTCTTGTTTTCCCCTCAGAAACAACATTGATTTTTTGGGAATAGTAGAAATGGCCATAAATAATGGATCGTTTTCCAAAGAGATGTTTTTGCAGGAGGAAATCACCTCTGAAACACCAAAGAACAGCGAGGTTTCCAAAAGGATGAATTCCTTTTTACCGCACTGAAAATTTTAAAAAATCCAACAATTTTTCAAGGGGTTACAGTACCCCATGAACCACTTCGTTTGTCTCGTAAGATGTCACTTAATGTCAGTTAATGGACGGATCATCCCACCTGCGCCTTCACCCATTTCTAAATTTGCAAGTCTATATACTTCTTGGTTGTTGTTTGTTCGGTCAATATACGCTGTCGACATTTTTTACATTTTCCTTAAACCTTTCAATTGAAACGTGTTCAGTTTAGCTGCCATAGCTTCCGTGGGCTGAAGTGCTTCCAAGCTGCACAGGAGTTTTGAAACACATACCGCATTGTATTCAATGCTGGGAACTTTATTACTGCTGTTGCAGCTAACCTAAATCAAGTACCAAGGTTTCCAACGAAGACGGACAAAAAAAACAGAAAAGGAATGTGGGGAGAGACGTAAAAGGGAAAACGGAGGACAGAATGAAAGAGGGAACAACATGATCCAATGCTAACAAAGTCTACACCTTGAAGATATTCTCTCTCATCACCCATCAGCCCAACAAAAGTATATGATTTGAAAGTAGATTCACATGATTTAAGATGTTCGCTTAAATTGATGACGTCACAAACCCATTTTTTCAAAAAAATATTATTTAAGGACTTGACTTCGGTGACTTGTCGGCAATTGTTTGGGGAGGCTGTATCCACTAATCAATAGCCAGGGTTGTAATGTGCAGTGTTAATGTAATGTAATGCGATGCAATGCAAATGTAAATGCAAAAGTAAATGTGAATGTACATGCGAATGTAAATGTACATGTAAACTGTAAACTGTAAACTGTAAGGTAGTGTAATGTAGTGTAATGTAGTGTAATGTAGTGTAATGTAGTGTAATGATGTGTAATGTAGTGTAATGTAGTGCAATGTAGTGTAATGTAGTGTAATGTAGTGTAATGTAGTGTAATGTAGTGTAATGTAGTGTAATGTAGTGTAATGTAGTGTATGTACGTATGTACGCATGTATGCAAATATGCATCTATGCATCTATGCATCTATGCATGTATGCATGTATGCATGTATGCATCTATGCATCTATGCATGTATGCATGTATGCATGTATGCATGTATGCATGTATGCATGTATGCATGTATGCATGTGTGCATGTGTGCATGTGTGCATGTATGTCTGTATGTCTGTATGTCTGTATGTCTGTATGTCTGTATGTCTGTATGTCTGTATGTCTGTATGTCTGTATGTCTGTATGTCTGTATGTATGTATGTATGTATGTATGTATGTATGTATGTATGTATGTATGTATGTATGTATGTATGTATGTATGTATGTATGTATGTATGTATGTGACGGTTTGTCAAAATGTCTGTTCCCGGTTTTGTTGATAAATCGCAATTCCATGCGTGCCGCCTGATGTTTGCCTTTAAAAAACATGACCTACCTTGATGACGTGAAAATGTGGAAATTTTTCGTTACCTTTGGAAATCTTTCTAAAACCACAGGAATCGGCTAACGCACGTCGGTTTTCATTCGCTGTCGCTGGTACTATCTCCTGAACTGTGTGTCTCTCTGTGTGTGTGCCTCTCTGAATGCAATATGCTTCTTGACATGCCTCCTGATCAACGCTGTTTCCTTACTGTAAGCTACCAAAGCGTGAACATGGCTGTGCCTCTGAATGGGCTGCGGGTGGACCGGGGCATGTATTTGCAATTATCGCTAGCGCGTTGCTAGCGGCGATCTAGCGCGTAAAATACGTAACAAAAATCGAAAATTTGGGAATATGTGGAAACTGACAGACTTGTAAGAAAAGCTGGCAAGACATTTACGACATGGAGGCCATGGCTGTCAATCAAACCTAGCGCAAACCTAGCGGGTTTGCTAGCGCTGCCTTGCAGAATTGCTGAATTTAGTTGCGTGCCGCCTCATAACGAAGAGGAAAAAACAGTAGACCCAGATGAATTATCAACAACCAATACTAAACTTCTAAACAACTATTTTTGACAAATGGTCATGTATGTATGTATGTATGTATGTATGTATGTATGTATGTATGTATGTATGTATGTCCGTATGCATGTATGTCCGTATGCATGTATGCATGTATGCATGTATGCATGTATGTATGTATGTATGTATGCATGTATGCAATTGTATGCATGTATGCATGTATGCATTTTTATTCATGTAGGCAGGTAGGCATGTAGGTAGGTAGGTAGGTAGCTAGCTAGGTAGGTAGGTAGCTAGCTAGCTAGGTAGGTAGGTAGGTCGATATATCATCCATGAAAATATTGTCCATACATATTATATAAATGTATATATTCACATTTTATGTTATTGTTATGGCAATATCCGAACTCAGATGTACAGTATGTATATATGAGTGAATATCAATGAGTTGACCAACTAGACTATTGCTATTGATATCTATCAGCCACCCGTCTCCGCGTTCCCGCACCTCTCGGAGCACCTGGAGCCACATCGGGATCCCTCCGAGTCGGGCCGCCTCTGCTGCGCCGCGAAGCGCTGTTGCGCCGAATCGAAGGACCTGATCTGGAGACTGACCTGGACAAAAATAGGAACCACAACAGAACCTTGATTGACACCGATTTACATATGCGTTATACATATGGTGGTTGATCTAAATTCCTTTATCTGCAAGTGGCCATTCTTCGCGAATAAACAATTCTCTTTCGCAAATCTTTCGCGGACTCCATGTTTATCTGTCGCGGAACCCATGTTGAGCAACAACTCCTCTTATGAAGAATCATTCATCACCTGCCAAATCACACCAAACTATCACGGATAACTTGTTCATAGCCTTGAAAACATGCAGCTAGCATCACAGAATCCCCTTCTCAGGACAGGTTGTTGCTGATTAGGCAATTTTTTCGCAAGGCTTGCTGGGCCACTCCCTTCAAAATGCACTTTGACTTTCGCCCACTCCTTCGCAGAACTTCTGCGGAACTTCGCAGACCCCAGCCATCAGCAGGGGGCGCATCAAAGGAAAAGCAAACAACAGGGGCCTTGGTGTTTGGCTCTGGCAAAGCCTCGCTTTTGGAAGCTTGGCTGCTGCATTTGGGCTTTGTTTCTTGAGACTTCACAAAGGGATACCAGTGTCAACCGGAAATCAACATTATCAAAACATATCAAAACTATTCATGGAACAATGTCACGATCATATCCGTGCAAGGAACTACATTGTACTATGCATCTATATAGTGTTCTTATGGTGATTCATAATATCCAACTTTTGCGAAACTTTCGCGGGGTCTGACGCCGGGCCCCTGGAGGCCTTCGCGATAAAAACCCTTACATGGACTACCTTTAGATCGACTCCCATACATACATATATATATATATTAATATATAGATAGAATGCATCATCAGTTGTGTTGATGACACCTCCAAATTTCGTGGGCCAAATGGATTTGTTCAAGGGGAAATCATGGAACATTTACAGGAAACCCAAAGGCTTTTCCTATCAAACAAATTGGGAGGGTCCTGTGAATGTTCCTTTCAACCAATTGTGGGTGTCTTCGCCGCATCATGACGCGTCAAGAATGACTGAGATCTTACGCAATTCGTAAGATGGGATTGATTCAACAATCTGATGGAAACCACAAGGGCACTGCTCTGTTGGCACTGGCCGAGCCGAGAACAGAGGTTGGATTTGGCATTACCACCGTTTGAATGTTTAAATCTGCGAGACTTAGGTGTGGCCAAAAGTATGATTCCCTGAACAGTGCAGACTTTCTGCAAATTCCACCTTCACACTGATTTACAGGTTCCACATCATGTGAATCTATCCACCGTGCAACTTGTTCGAGGTTTGTTCGCCATGTCCTCCAAGGCACCATGTGAGGAAGGCAAATAGCCAAACCAGCTTCTGATATGCTGGGAGCGCCTGCCGTCGCTTGCATTCGCTTGCATCGCGGCATCGATTTCAGGCTAGGAATCACAAACCCCGGACCTCTATCTGAAACAAACATTGCTTGGTGTAAACACCTATGTAAACACTAATAGGAAAATGTAAGGGACATCATGTGTCAATAGCGGGTGGTTGCCGATTGCTGGCATCCTCTGATTTCATCCAAGGCAACACAACTGCGATCCCTTGAGCATGTTACAGCATATTCTTGGATTTGCTTCAGGAAGAACAAACATATTCCCTACGGATTCCCTATGGATTCCCCAGTCCTAGTGGATTTCCAGGAAAACAAAACCTCCACTCAGCTTCAGCTCTGGGAAAACCACCGCCTGCTGCGTGAGGTTGCCGTGGTAGCTCAAGTATTCCAGGCCGATCTTCACCATGCATTCCGTAAACCTATGAGGCTCGCCGCAAGAAATGACATGACCTCGAGTGATCCCTAAAAGCCCTGCTTCGGAGGGCTCATTAAAAACCATCTGGCACCCTGACATGTTAGCTGACATCTATTCTGTTTTTTTGATCTAACATATGCTCTGACAGTGTGACATTTATGTATATATATATGTATATGATATGTATGTAATGTTATGTAAAGTAAAGTAATGTAACGTAATGTAATGTAATGTAATGTATCTATCTATCTGTCTATGTATCTATCTATCTATGTATGTATGAATGTATGTATGAATGTATGAATCTATCTATCTATCTATCTATCTATCTATGTATGTATGTATGTATGTATGTATGTATGTATGTATGTATGTATGTATGTATGTATGTATGTATGTATGTATGTATGTATGTATGTATGTATGTATGTAGTATGTATGTATGTATGTATGTATGTATGTATGTATGTATGTATGTATGTATGTATGTATGTATGTATGTATGTATGTATGTATGTATGTATGTATGTATGTATGTATGTATGTATGTACTATCTATCTACCTATCTATCTATGCATGCATGTACGTATGTATGTATACATACGTACATATTATATATATATATTCTGACATTTGATCTGGCACCTATATGACATATATTCTTCTGCATTTTTATGCCATCTTCTCTGGCATCAGCGGCCTGCACTGCCTACACATACAATGCAGCCACGCCAGTGAGTTGCAAACAAAATTTCAGCAGAATTTCAGCGGCCTCTGGCTCTGAAGCACGGCAACTCACACCATAATGCTGTGTGTCCGTTGCCATCTTGGGTCTTTCAAGAGTACACTAGATCATACCACCCATTCGGGTTTTGTCTAAAAATATTAAAAATAGGGTGTGTATGTATATTATATATATATATACCCCCAAGCCCACTGGTTTCTCTGTTTATAAACAATGTTTATCATCATTTTGCCGGTTGAAATGGCCATCCGGAGGTTTCTCAAAATGGGGATAGCTCCAAATCATCCCAAATTAGACCATTTTTGTATTGAAACATAGGATTTGGGGAATCCCCCATGACTTAAGAAGCCCCCAAGTATCATCAATTTGGGTCACCAGCACTCTTTTCTCAGGTCCCTTGGGCCATTCCGAGCGACGCCACAGGACCAAAGACCTTCTTGGACTTGTTCGATCCCTGCGCCTGGCGCTTGGGTTCCCTGGCACCCGAAAACCATAGGATTTCATGGTGATTTCACCAAGAAAAACCATAGGATTTCATGGGATTTCTAGCTAATGTTCGATCGAAAAAAGGCTTAAGTCGGTTTAGTTCACTAGTGTAACTAGGGTTGATGGACATCATAACTATAGTTCATTGGGGGTTAAAACATGACTTATGACTGGAGGGGTTATAACAGTACCAAGAGGGGCTCCGTAACGTTCAAGTTTTCTAACTATTTCTATCTAGAGATTTGGGTGTTGTGAATGTAGGGCTTGTTTTTTAGACAAACAACCATTGTCAGCATCACATCCCGGGTAATCTCACCTGACCAGCTGGAAATTCACCCGGACTACATAGCCATTTAAGTATCCATTGTTGATGATGTCCCACTTAAATATCAGGACTTCCCGGCCATGTTTAATCATATTAATTGATTCCAAAATGGTCGGAGCTTATAGAAGCGATATGGAAATGATCATAAATGATCTATCTGAAAAACGGGGAAGACTACCTATAAAATCCTATAAAATTCACACTCTCTCTCTGGAAACATCTGGGAAGAATTTGCTTGGTGAAACCCGCATGTAGATGACAAATTCCATCTAGTCTAGATCTATCTCCGCCAATCATTTTTGAATACCTGTGGCTAACTTTGAATCAAATCCCCTGTGTACATCTGAATCTACTGTAAATTTGGTCAAATCTCCCAATTCGACATCTAAAAATTGCAGCTTCAATCCCAAATTCATCAAAATTCTGTATCAAGTGTTGGCCAATGCCAAAAAATATACATAGCAGTCATAGCAGTGTGTTGGTCAAATCCATTCAAATCCCTAAGTTAGACACTCGTGTCCTTCAAATCCCCAAAAATCGACATCTAAAGGTCGACTCCCGATGAGATTTTACGTTCAAATCCCGAACGTAGCAGTGTGGGTTTACCCAATGCCCTTCCAGCTACCACGACTGGGATGGTTGGAATCCCACCCATCTATGGCATCTGCATCTATGGATATCTATGGTACCACCTGGTTATTTAACATAGCCATGGAAAATCAACATTTTTAATAGGTAAACCATCTATAAATGGGCCATCTATACCATGGCTATGTTAAATAACCAGAGGGTAATGTATGTGATATTCGGGATGCTTTGCCGCGGTTTAGACAACATTTGCAGATTTTGCAGAAACCACATGTGGATTTTGGTCAAATCCCATCCAGAGCCATCTCCAAGGGACAGATTCTGTGGTCAGAAAGATGGGATGAGGATGCTTCGATTGGGCGCGATAGCGTTCCGCCCGTCTCACCTGGAGTCACTGGACCGGGAGGGCTTTCTGGGTTGGTCCGAAATGGTGGATTTTAGCATGACAAACATGGGGATTTGAGCTTTGGGATTTCATGAGATTTTACTTACTAAAATGGGATTTAGTGGAATTTCATGAGATTAAAAAAAATAGATTTAATGATATTTAACGGGATTTTTAATTCAAGTTAGTGGAATCACACAAAATTTACTGGAATTTAATCAACAAAAATAGGATTCAAAGGGGTTCAAGTGCTTCACCCACTGATGGGATAAGCCAGGGATTGGGGGACGACAATCACCAGGGTTACAAACCAATTACGCCCGGTAGGATGATCAAACACCCATCGGTTTCCCGGAGTTTCCCTTGTAAACCCAATGTCATAAACCATCCCCAAAAGCATCGTTTATAGTGGCATAAACCATCCCCATGGTAGGTGTACGGCATTGGGTTTACCACAGAATATATCCCATAAACCATAGTCTTTATAGTGAACTAAACCAACTTAGCTATCATAAATCAGCTATACATCCCTGTAAATCCCCATTTTTCCGGGTGAAATCACCACTTTCCTTGAAAAAAAAACATGGTGTGTTGCCTGCGCCATCAACTTCACGAAGTCGGTTTTGGTGAACTTCTGCAGACCCTGTGGGTCGTGCAGCAAAAAGGCCTTAGCCGTGAACAGGGGAAAACACCAGGTATTTCACCATCAAAAATGGGCAATTTGCGCAATCACACCTTTTTTATCCTTTTTTTAGAGTGCTTTGAATTTATTTTTATATCCGAGATTGATCTTCTTCTATTTCCCAACTCAGCATGTTGATCATCTTGACTTCTTCTCCCATGTTTTTTTTGACCTGCAATGCGGCTCAAATCCCTGTTTATGGCTGTTAGTCCCAGGTTTGGTACTTAAACCCTCCTGAAATTCCCATATTTTTGATTGCTTAGATCCCTGTTTTGGTGAAGTTCAGCCGCCATTGCGGTTGCTTATATCAATCCATGTTTTGGTTTATTTGACCACCATTAAATGATTGCTGAGACTTTTATAGAATCATTGTGTTGGTAAACCAAGATTTCGGATGATTTTGATATCATGTCTTCATATTTTTCCGTATCCATCATAGATTTTGCTTGGTGTTTACCACCATCTCCTCATTCTGTGCCATATCTCCTCACTCCGTTGCTGCCACGCCCGGGTCCCCGAGCGTTGTCGATTTCAAAGGCGGGACTGGCCTGTCCCATGACGGTCACCAGGCAGCGAAAGCCTTCGGTGATCTCCTTAGATCAGAGTTGAGG